TTGGTATTTTTTTCAAATAGATGGAAATTTCAAGTGCGTATGGAAAAGCCTCATATCCACACACATGCAGGCATATTCATGTAATATGCAAAATATACTACAGTAGCAGCTGGAAATCGTGAAAGGAAGCGATTTCGGGCATGCAAATGCTCTGATCGGCACTTATCTTCTGTATGCCGAAAGGATAAAGTGACCGCTCCATAGACTCTGCACTTGATTCCGCGCTCACACGATCGCGAGAAACCGCATTGGAAAAGAATCGACGATGCAACAATGACCGCGACGACGAAGATTGACCTTACGAGCAGATTTAATCTCGAGACGGCAAAAAATCGGTCACGCTACTAACGGCCATCAATGTGCGCTGTACGATGATGGCAATAGCGGGGACTCGAAGACCATATCTTGTACGATAGTAGACGTAAGTAGATAGGAATTCTAATTTAACGCAGATAAGCGCATTTTTTATTGCCGTGTCGGTGGCCGCAATGCTAGCTGGTGCGCAATGATGTATCATCCGCGGAAATTATCGCTCTTTCATACTTGGCTCGGGCGACGCGATGGTCTCGCTATTTTAGTACTGGATAAGGTTTTTTAAAATTTCATCTGTACACTTTGATTGAGCACGTCAACGATGCATGTTTGGTTCTTCCTCCAAAAATTCAAGACTCCAAAGACTTCGGCGCAGAAAATCGAGTAACGTGCATTTTTATCCGTCATGCATATTTGTTCAGTGTTATCAGGCTTTTTCTGATATGTTAATGCCTGCATGCGCCATTGAGGCTTTTTTTAGTCTGGTAATTAAAGACTAATATTTAATGTTAGATTACAATATTTTCAATGAATGTGGTACGAAAATTAATAATAAGTATCTGATGAGTAATAAAAACCAGAATGTATGAGAATCATCTGGGCTTAAATGCATAAAGAAAATGGGCGTGTTAAAATTATTGTAGAATAATGTCGCTTGAATTGCTGACGTGAAAATGAGGATAAAATTTATACATCAAAGTTATACTTTTTTTGTTATCTTTTTACCCATTTCCTCGAGAGACAAGATAAATGCTGTTGGCCATAAATTTAAAAGATAAATAATTTATTATTTAACTACATGAAAGACTTCAAAATTCGTAAAAACATGAGTTGATTGTACTCGCGATATAAATTTATGAGATGCATAATAATCGAAAGTTATGTATGTTTTTTGTGATTATATTATAGCACGTTGTTGGTGAAATAAAGTTGATTCTTTACAATAAGTATTATAGTTTTTTCAGAGCATATATTGACTAAATTCTTGAGCATGACTGACGCTTTACTATTATCTTTCAGATTTCCATTTTTCAGACGAAGTAGTTATATTTTGAGTGATTTTTTTTTAAAGTTAAGAAATGAGTTACTTTTATCAAGTGCATCTATTTTTAAACTCTGCTTAAAACTACTACATAAAACTTAAACTGAATATTATAATCACATAAAGTTATGTTAAAAGTTAAACTTTCTTAGAAAAAAGTTTCAAGCTGATAAGTATCTTGACTCCTCAATAAGATAATTAGGAAAATATAGTCAAAGTGTCACTTCCATACACTGTCCCAATCCCTATTTCACGCCTTAAAGCTCTTACTAGAAAAAAATTAGCTTTTCTGCCATATCTTCCCACATACACTGAGAAAAAAATATAATAAAAATTACTGTGCTAGAATGGTAATCTGGTGTCATTCCGCCATCTAGGGACTTTTTACTTTAGCCAACCTAATGTTTACCATTCTGGACAGTAATTTTAATTGTACGAACATAGTAAAAATTATTATACTTACAACAAAAATTACTGTTCTAAACACTAAAAATTATAGTTCCAATAGTAAAAAGTCTCTAGACAACCGCACACTCACAGATTACCATCCTAGTACAGTAATTTTTATTATATTTTTCTCTTAGTGTACATTGTCAAGTACGAGCACAAAGTACAATGGCTGCTTTGCACCGTCGAGACACACTTTGCGCTATTGTGATCACTTTGTAATCTTAGAGACATAATGTACGATGAATTGACACGTATTTTAATTTTCAATTTTCATGTGAACATGAATTTTGGTCGCTCCCGTCTCCTCCTATACCGTTTATATTAAGTCTACAAGTTGCAATAGTACTCCAAAGTTCAAAATATCACTTCCGTACCCCTCAATGGTAAAAATGTCTCTTTTTCTAGCTTTCGTGCATCGGAACTTTATGAAACTTTTTTCCAGTACTGTACGGCTAAAATATAAGGCATGTGTCGTGGAGTTCGGTGTAATTGGATTTTTTTCGCGAGATACATTGATAAATATCGATATTTCACTTCCAACACTAGTAGCGAAGAAGTACACAATTTTACGTGGTCCAAAATAGGCTTAAATGACTGTTTAAAGGGAATTCTATCGATAAAAAAATGTTTGTTAAATTTTATGTCACCAATAAAAAGTTACAGGTGTTTTGAAATAAGTTACGAATTTTTGGCAAAAATCTACAAAATCTGATTTTTAGCGATTTTTGTTGCTCTTCTTTGAAAAGCTATAATTTTTGAATGGAGGCACTAAACGGAACTAAATTCAATTTCAATTGATAGGTTTTAATCCAAGCTTTTTTTATTTGAGTTAGAACACTTTAACTATACTAGCAGCTTTGTTACGTGCACCAGAAGCAGAGATATTTTTTTCGAAAATACCGTATATCTTTTTACCCAAAAAGTTTGTAGTAGAATCGCTTTGGATATTTGGTGTGGGTGGTACTTGAGGTAGAACTACTATCAAAAGTAGTTTTTCAAATCTTTTTTCAAGTAAAACATGGATATTTTACTACTCATCAGTTTAATATGTTAACTTTTCGAAAACGATGTATTTCCAAATGGTTTAGCTCATATTTGAAAAGAATGATCTACATGATTTTTATAAGAATTTAAAAAGAATACGCTAAAGACATAAACTGCGTTTTGGTCATTTCAAAACATTTATTAGGTGCCTGTGAGATTTAATTAGCCATTGAGGTCAAGCATGGGTACTATACTCATGTATTCTATTTGCTGTGAGGATGAAGACCAGCAGCGCTCCAGCGGATTTTTTCCAAGACCTGAACGTGTTGAGAGCCAACTGTTGTGCCGTGATACATACGGACTTGGAGACATAAATATTTATTGCAAAGGTCGATGTCCCAGTACTTACTTGGTCATGTCCCAATAGTCGGTCATCTGGCTGATTTTTTCACTATAAATTTTCAAAACATATATAAATCGGGTAGCTATTTAGACACTAAGCAGTTACTCTTTTAATACAAGTTAATGTATAAATTTAATTGAAAATATAACGAAGGCCCATGGAAGAAAAGAGGTGACCGACTATTGGGATATTTCGTCTGCTTAAGTAAGCGAGTACTGGGACATCCACCTAACTAATTGAGAGCTCGTGGCACTCTGAACTTTTAATATATGAAAGTTAGTGCAATCAGTTATTCATGAAAAATTTAATAATTGGCTGACAGTAACTCTAGTATGTCATTGCTTTAGTTACAAAAAGCAAAGTGTACACTGTACAGTCGTCGCCGTCGTCGGCACAGCAGCTGCAGTCGACAACTACACACAGAGAGACACACACGTACATATACATGTACATGCCCATAACCTTTTTGTGTCATTTCCATCATCGCCCTTCATATTTGTTGGTGATACACAGCACTGTGATAGATTAAAAAATTGTTTATGGATAACTCATTACACAAACATTTATATATTATAAGTGTGGAGTACCACGAGCTCTCAATTAATTGCAATGAATATTTGTGTCACCGAGTCCGTATGTATCACGGCACAACAATCTGCTCACGACACGTTCAGGTCTTGGAAAAAATTCGCTAAAGCGCTGCTGGTATTCATCCTCACAGTGAATATACATATATATACTACCGTATTGTCATCAGGATTAAAGTATTGGTACAGTATCTGCATTATAAGGGCATTCAGTACACAAGACTTATTTTCTACTTTACCAATTTCTCTATCGTGAGAAATTATGGTTAATAACTAATTACGTCGCTGTTTAAATCCAAAATAAGGAGAAGAGCCCCCAAGCTGGCACTTTGAGGAATCTATCGATCCTAAATTCAATGCAATCCGTTGCAAATTAAGAGAGAAAAGTTACATTTCCTGATTATGAAAGAGTGTATCAGTGTGCATAGTCTGAAATGTAACTTTTTTCATAAAGTAATGCATTGAATTATCTAAAATTTTGACAGAGCCTCTGAAAAAGACAAACGCTGGTCCTCTCATGGTTTTTGAAAATATACAGTTCAAATAATGAACTTAGGCTGCGTATACACGCTACGAAAATGATGGAACTCTGGCGTCGGTACATCAGAGCAAATCTTTTACCAAAGATTATTTCTGTTTGGCACGGTGAAAGCGAAAAATTCCGTGACGGAAACTTCATGCACCAATCAGAGCACATTTTTTCCGATGGATTCTTTTAAAGTTCAACGCTGATTGGATCATGAAGTTTCCGTAGCGGAATTTTCCGCTCCATGTAAACGAAGGGTCTTGACCTTTTGGAATTTTGAGCACAAATTTTGTCATCTGCATAGTAGCAGTAGTATTGATTGTTTCTGTTTGTTTTTATTTCATCTGTGTATCATTTAACTGCGAAACAAAAAAATCTAGAATGAATCGGAAAAAGGTACTGCAACTGTGCATTTTGAAACAAATGAAAATGTACAAAAGACCAATGCTTCAAACAAGAAAAGAGAAAATAAAAAAAGCCTTGATTAAGTTGCATGCTATGTACGTGGCTTTATCTAGCAGCTACAGCAAGAATACAAGAAAAATGTGTATACGACCAATTTATACGTTGCCAGAGAGATTGTTACATGGTGACAGTGATAATTTAATTGTTTTCATGCGTGATAGAGATCTGGACACTAATTTAATTATTTACGATTATCATCTGATATTTTTGAGAAACTATTAACATTTGTAGCACCATTAATTGTAAAGAGTAATGCAATAAGGATTTCCATCCCACCTTTCACAAGATTGCAGGTATGTTTGAGGTACTTGGCCACTGGTAATAGTTTCAGCTCCATAGGATACGCTTTTCGCATAGCTAAATGCACTGTTTCCGAAATTGTTGAAGAAACATGTTTGGCAATTTATGAAACGTCAAAAAATATATTTCTAACTGTGCCTATAACGAAAAAATGGTTATTAATAGCTGAGGGTTTTCAAAAAAGTGTGATTTTCCAAGTTGTGCTGGTGCGATTGATGGAAAAAAAGTTGTTATGCAGGTATACGTGTATTATTCTTCATATTCCTAAGTTCATTTGAAAATAATTAATTGATACTTTCTATTTATTTAACGTGGGCACAACTTCACAGTGAGTCAACATTTTTTTACTACAAGGGTCATCACAGCTTGAATTTTACTGGAGTCTGTGATAGTAACTGTAGATTTACTTTGATAGAAGTTGGTGCTGAGGGTCGTCGCAGTGATGGTGGTATCTTTGCAACCAGTTATGTTAGAAAAGCTATAGAAGAAGATGAACTCAATCTTCCGTCATATGTAAATGTTGCTGAACGCCTACTACCTTTTATTTTTGTTGGTAATGAAGTGTATCCACTACGTCCATATATGATGAAGCCATATGCAAGAAGAAACATGCTAAGCACAAAACAAAAAATTTTTAATTACAGACTAAGTAGGGCACGTAGAACAATCGTGTGTGGATTTGGTATTTTAGTAGCTCGATGGAGAATTTACAAGCGTTCACTAGATTTGGGTGTTGATAAAATTGTGGCCATAGTACTGGCTACAATATGCTTTCACAATTTTGTCATTACAGAAGAATTACAGAAACAATCTGAGTTTCGGTACTATTCAACTTACACAAATCTGGACAGACTCTAGGTTTAATAAATTCTAACAATAATCAGATGTATAAACCAATCAAATCATCTATATAAATTAGGGAATAGCTGGCCACGTTTTGTATAGAGGAAAGAGCCCTACCCTGGCAATGAGAAAATGATGCAAATAATATTATGTGATAGATTATATGTTCTGAGATTTGTACCTGACATCTTTAAGGAATCAGTAAAACGTTGATGTTAATTAGCTAATAGTAAATATACCTTATTTTTATATAAACATTTGTATACTCGTTTGATCCAAAACATTTCTCTACTGTATATATTTGTAATATGTATCAGCAAACTTTTGTAAATTAAACTTACAACTGAATATTAATAAATTCGTTCAGGTATTTATTCAGGTACATTTTAACATCATAAACCAGCATTAACAACTTTAACTCTAATCCTCTTCGTTCTTTATAAGGTAAGCCCCTTAAAATACATCCAAGATTAATTAAAGTTCCATCCACAGAATTAGTCTCTTTCTCAGTTCCTTGAATAGTGTCAAGTAAAAGTTTATCGAAATCCACTTTGTCTTCAAAGCCTGCAATAAACAGGCAACTCATCATCATCAGCATCATCATCATTTTCAATGATTGAGGTAGTATCATCAAAGGATCCAGTACGCCGATCATCTTGTAAACCAAAACTTGGTTTTTCTGGTGATTTTGCTACAGCTGTCAACTTGTGAGATGTTGTAGGACGTACTTTTATTGAAAACAATAAGCATGAAGAAAAATAAGTTGTAAATCGTATTTTTTTATAATAATTGATCAATCGACAGCAGTACATACTTCGTCAGATTATATTACGTTATTTTTCAAAAAAACTTTCTCACCAAGTTGCAAGTTTAAAAAACAATGGCGTTGACCACATTTACGAATTTCTGGCAAACTGTACTTGAAATGTCCACAAGTACGCACTTGAACTGCCTCACTTATTCTTACAGACTCTGATGCATACAATTATCTATTAATAACTAGTTTAGTATTATTTAAAGGTTATGTTAGCGAAACATTTCGTCACAGAAATTACTCTACAGGTATCAGAAAATTGGTTGCAGAGTGGAAAAATAATCGTTGGTAAGGGATTTGCTCTGATGTACCGACGCCAGAGTTCCGTCGCGTGTGTACGCAGCCTTACTCAACATATGCAGATTTATAGGTTATGTAATGCCGTTTACGACAAACATTAATTTTTTGAAATTCAACAATTGCAAAATTACGAGAAGAGCCGCGTTTACCTTTTTATTGTAGAGGACCAGTTCATATTTCAGATAATTCAATGCATTACTTTTTGAAAAAAGTTAAATTTCATATTATGTACACTGACACTCTCATTCATGAGCAGGAAATGTAACTTTTCTCTCTCAATTTGCAACGGATTGCATTGAATTAGGGCTCGATTGATTCCTTAAAGTGTGAGCTTAGGGGCTCTTCTTCTTATTTTGGATTTAAACAACTAGCTAATAAGTTATTAACCATAATTTTTCAAAATAGAGAAGTTGGTAAAGTAGAAACTCCGACCGATATACTGAACGTCTTTAAGTAACTTGACAATTGATTTTGGAAATAGACCTCAAAAAATTTGAAACTAGCATATTTCCCATTTTTTGTTTCAGTGACATATCAGTGTTTGTGCACACTTGCCACTAAATACAACTAACCAACGAATCTATCACCCATGCTATGTTTCAATGGAACAATCTTGTTACTTCAAAAAATTAGATTTTTAAAATTTTTAAATTTAATTGACATTTATATCTGTTGCAGACATGATTTTGAACCGCATCTGAGATTTTTTGATTGAAATAATTAACTTTCTTAATTTTAATGAATTTTTCATCATCACTTCTATGGGTGTGGTCATAAATGTATACAATACTTTATACAGTTGCACAATTTTGTTTGGGATTTATACTTCAGTAACAAAAATATATTGAACGGTACAACTATTAAACCATCTACAAAAATATTATAATTTCGTTTATATGAATATGTATACAAAAGCATTTCTTATTCATTTGTATTACAAATACAACTTTTTTTTCATTGTCTAAGTACTAATTGTAAGAGTTTTTTTATGAAACTTTAAAATCATTCTTTATGACCACTTTCCATGCAAAGACTCAATTATCACGAAAGAAACATACAACTTAAATTTAACTATTAGTTTTTAGAGTTCTTTTTGTAATTATTAGATGTTGATTTAGCAGATTCTGTTTTATTTATATTTATATTTTTATTTTTATTTCGTGTGTAATTATGTTGTTATTACAGGGTGCTGCCACCAAAATATTGACTTTGAAATGATCTCTATGACTACAGACTCAAATTATTATTAACCTTGTGAGTTGAATATTATAGCAATATAAGTCTAATTATAAAATAATGTTCGTAGTGAAGGTAAACATATACACTTTTTCTTCATATATGATGCTACACTTCCGACCTTCTACGATATTTACATTTTATCTTACAATTAGCTAACAAGAAATCTTCTACTTTGCACATCATGTCCTTCAGTCAATGAAAATGCTAATGTGTTAAGGAAGTGTGCTGGAAATGGTATACAAAAAAATCAGAAATGGCAAAGGAGAAGCGAGAAAAACTGAGAATAATGGGGACTTGAAATAATCCTTTATTAATTATCTACATGTGGAATTAAATACAACATACGACTATACTAATATTTATAAATGCATTGTACAGTATTATCAAGATTTTTATTGCTTCATAGACAACTGAAAAAATGAGACTGTTTTTTAATTATAATTCTTGAACGAGTATCATTTTTTCATGCTTATTTTGCTTATTTTAAATCCATCCTAAAAATCTGCTGCATCATAATTTTTAATCAATTTTATATCTTTAAATTAGAGGAGCGATTGCTTTCCAAAAAAAGTAGTTGTTGAAAGATTTCATTTCTAGCACTAATTTTTTGAATATAAACTAGAAAGTCAACCACAAACATGTAGTATGTTATAAACATTAAGAAAATATTTTTAGTACGCACTCCATAAGAAAGCATTTTAAATTCGTATCTTTAAATTTTAAATACTATTTGACTCCCACTTTCCTCATTAAAAGTTGTGTTAAGAATTGAAAAAAAATTTTTTTTCTAAACAATCTTTTACTATTACAACAAAAATGATAAAAAATGATTTTGGTGTCCAAACGCCCTCTGCGATAAAAATGTGCAACCTTACACTTACCCAAAAATTGTCAATGAATGTTTTCATGTACTGAATTATCGTATATCATAAAAAAAAAATTCTGATTACTAAAATTTATCCTGCTATTAGTTTTGATAAATATTTACGAATACAATTGTTTTCAGTATACCTTTTGAATCTTCAATATTGTTAAAACATTTATTGTTATTATATTTACACTTTAATGCAAACGTTCTCTTACCTTATACCTACATCAAAAGATTAGATTGAAAAACATTAATGATTCACCATCTCGTGGAAATTCATGGAGAAGTTGGCAAAAATTAGTCATAAGGTTTGTCTTGAACAAACAGATAATGTACACACAAATAAAACAATGTTAAAAGTCTGAAAAATTTTAATGAACACTAATTTTAACACTAACACATACACTCGTATACCTGCAAACTTTACTAAGCACTTGAATAGCTTACAAATATACATGTATTTTTACGTAATAACAATGATTAAAACTAAAATTGCCTAAGACGAAGAAAGAAAATAATTAAAATTTTGAATGTAAAGGTAACGGAAATATTGTGCTATTTTGATTGTACGAAATACGTAAATTCTCACTGTCGTTAATGTTTACTTTTATTGAAATATAAAAATGATGTAGATTTCTTTAATTATTTTATTATAATCTATGTAGCGTTTAATTGCGTTGAGCCCCAGATACTTAGTCTACGTAGATTATACGTAAACACTTTCGTTGAAATATGTTAGATTTTTTTAGTATGTCTTCTAGAAACCTAATAGACAGAGTAAGAGCTGAGAGACATAAAAATAATAGACAACACGCGTCGAAAATCGGTGTTCAGCTTGCTCTAACTTGTACATATAGGCGAGGTGCTGCGCAATCTGAAATCTTTTTTATTGACTTTAAGAGTGCACAGCCCTCGTACATATATGTAAATATTTCGTCATTGTCATGTATTCACTGAGATGGATGTAAAATAAAGAAAGGAAGGACAAACAAGCAATAAAACGAAAGCTTATGCAAGTATAAACAGTTAGGCGTTTTGGGTCCCCCTGATCGAGTGTGTTTCAGTATCGTTCTCTGACAACTTTTCGGTAACTTAAACATGACATACGATACCATTAGACACGATAAAGTTGCCGATAAGTTGTTGGAAAGCAATACTGGAATACACGCTATAAGGAAATTTTACTAATTCTCTTCTAAAATTTTTTTGTACAACATTTGGGATAAAAATTTTTTATGGTATAGGTTCAAAAAAATAACTCATTTATAATGTGCAAAATATTAATGAGTTTTCCAAGCATTCTAAGAGACTTTCTTCGATTGAACTAATTATTTTTCGTATAATTGAATGTTACAATTTTTTTCTGAGTAAGCAGAGAGAGTGAACGAATTTTTATGAAAATTAATCGAAACTGTGATACTTGATGAGTATATATATATATATACACACATTCCATTATTAAGCTGCAAAAACTAGTCAGTCCAAAATAGCAGTTCAGTTAGCAGGGGTAAATATCTACAGTAGACGTGCGTATAAATATCTACTTTTAAGCTTTCCCCTTTAGCCTATCGGACCTCATCTATGGGTCCTTTTTTTAGGGAACATCGTACGGTTTGTTTTCATTAAAAACAATAATAAAATCCAGATAAATTCTACAATTTCTGTAAAAATAATCATAAGGTAATGTAACACTATCGTCAAAATTTCCGTATTGGCACAATGTTGTAGGAATGCCATTGTCGTCACTACGAAAATTTTTGTATCTCTCTTCTCATGCATCAATTTGTCATTAAT